ACAAAGACTGCCTCTTGAGGAAAATCTCTCCCTCTTAGCAATTGTTCACTGCCTGTGTATCTTCAGAGAGGGCTAGACTTCTTGAGTCTTTCCATCCTAGCAACCATTAATTGCCTATCCTCAGGGAGGGGCAGGCCTCAGGAGCCTTTGCGCCCTCCATTGTAGAACACCAATGGACCCAATATTGAGCAGGTCTTTCGAAGGTGATCTCAACTGATGAGGCTAATAGCCACACACCATGCTTGTCCACATCAACTAGTAATTATGATTAGTACTGGGTTGATTAAAAAAAATAGAGGAGGGATACGGTGGTGGCACATGCCTTTAATCCCAGCACTAGGGAGACAGAGACAGGCAGATCTCTGTGAGTTTGAGGCCAGCCTGGTCTACTGAGAGAGTTCCAAGACAGCCTCTAAAGCTACAGAGAAACCCTGTCTTTGAAAAACAAACAAATAAACAAACAAACAAGTAGAAGAGGGAAAAGTAAATAGCAAGAGTGAGCAGTACATACAAAAGGGGAGAGGATGCTGTTTGGGCTAAAGATGGAATGAAAAGAGAGGTAAAAACTGTCATCACATAACCTTAAGTAACTCCACCAAACAGGCCACCCTGTGTTCTTTAAGAAAGCCTATCAAAATAAAGGTGGGAAAGGAAGTAGGAGAGAAAAAATGACAGGATGAGAACAAAGAACACTGGCCTGTAAACTGAGCCTGGGTATTGAATAAAGGGATAAATGTAAAGGGGAGGAGGCTGGGTGAGGCTCAGACTGAATGTAGTCTCTTGACTATTGCTGGCGTCAGCCTGGATTCTGTGTCCCTTCCTAGGCTTTCAGATGCCAGGCACACCTGTAGACCATCATTTGCAAGGTTGGGCCACAAAAACTGATCCTGTCAGTTGGCTGTCCTTACCAGGAGGAGTCACAAAGGTGGGCAGACTTCTGGGTAGTCTTTCATGGGTCAGGTTGTGAATGCTGTTCTCACACACAGGCCTGCCCTCATGAGCCTACTGGCAGACAGTGGCAGGTCCTTCCTAATGCTGGTTACTCGGCTTGAAACCAGGTGGACTCTGGCTCTGACTAGGTTTCCCACTTGCTAAATAGGCCGTGTTGCAAAGTTCCTTCCCAACAGTCTAGAGGAAATCTGCTGTTCAGTACCAGCATAGTCTTAGGACTTTTGTCCTGTGTTTCTGCTTGTCTTTTGTTGAGAGGTTTTCCTGGTGTCTTAGTCTGCTTTCTGTTGCTGTGGTAAAAACTATGACATAAGGCAACTCGGGGAGGAAAGGACTTACATGACTTACAGCTAACAGTCCGTTTTATGGAGGGAAGACAAGGGATGCAGGAACCAAAGTGGAGACCAGGGAGGAATGCTGCTTATAGGCTTGCTCTGCCTGCTTTCTTAGACCATCTAGGTCCACCTGTCTCGGGATGGCACCGCCCAGATTGGGCTAGACCCTCAGGTACCAATCATTAATTAAGAAAATGTCCCCACAGACATGACCAGTGTGATGGAGGCATTTCTTCAATTTAGATTACCTCTTCCCAGATGGCTTCAGTTCGTGTCAAGTTGACAAAAATTAACCACCAGACATGGTGTTTTCCCTTCTCCTTAGAAAATATTTGCTTCTGAGATGACTGTGCAGTTTTAGGCTGTGGCCCTTCTCTCACTGGGAAGACAGAACTTGAAGAGGAACTATAGTGCTCTCTCTCTCTCTCTCTCTCTCTCTCTCTCTCTCTCTCTCTCTCTCTCTCTCTCTCTCTTCTACCACCCCCTCTTTTTTTGTGTGACTCT